TGGTGTGGGCACAGCAAGGCTGCTCCTTCCATATAGTGCCAGCCGCTAGCTGTTCCAAACTCAGATTCCTCACTGCAGAAAGCTGACTAAAGAACTTGACTCACAGTTGAACAACAAAGGCTAAACTAACTTCCCGTGGAAGACCTGCGTGGGGAATTCCTCCTGAACTCCTATTTGCATCTGCATCTCTAGCATCTGTGCATTAGAGAAGAGTTCACTTTTGCTCACTCAGTGGCTGTATCTATAGCTCGGGTTGCCACATGGTTTCCATCTAAGACCTTCTGTTCAACTGCCTTTAACAAGGGCAAATTCTAATCACTAAGGTCAGGCTTTTCTGTCATAAGGATATCTTAAGGTGGTCAATTTACCCGTCATTTTCAGGGTGCTGTGGTTCAGACACTGACCAGGCAGAAGTAATACAGTGATATGCTTTTCCAATCCTGGTGAAAGAGAACAGTCCTACAACTGAGGTGCTCCAGAACCTGCAAGGTCTGAAGAGGAGGCAGAGCAGGAACACTTGCCAAGGGAATGTAAAGGTCTGTGAACAGCCAGCACTGACCAACTGAAGCCCCAGGGAACTGAAGTTCCATGGGTGCAATCATCAGCCTCCTCTGTGCTGATCTCAAAACCAACAAACTACTCACTGTCACTGTTGAGCTACTTTTTCATCAGCTCATCAAGCTAAATTGGTACAGGGAACGGTCAAGCAGAAGCCAGCACCAGCCTAAGAAAAAGGCTGGGAAAAGGAGGGGGAGAAAGGTGTGGAACTGCAACCCTATAGAAAACAGACTAACTCTTGATATGCAGTACAGGGCAATTTCTCTTGATTAGGGCATCTAGGTTGTGGGCTAATCTGCAGGGTGAAGAGGAAGAACCTAGAGTATTTTAGGATAAATATGTAGGCAGGGCAGTTGCTATGTGATGAATAACTCTTTCAGGCTATTCATCAAGTTGCCACTGCTCTGTCTACATATTTCAGGCTTTGTAGCCTGAAAGAGAGCACCTTGAGAGTGAGGTCTAGTTAGGGTTGTCTGGAAGATGATGAGTGCAAACATTTCTGTTTAATGAGCATGCATACTCATTTGCTCATTTAGAAGAAAGAAGTCATAAAGGAAGGCAATAAGCAGAAACAAAACCAGGAATTGCCGTGGTTCACCAACTGGTACCTGTTCATAGGTTTTGCAGTGACCTCATACTTCACAAAGAGGTGCAACAAACAAAGCACTGGAGTGCCAGCACGTACTGAGGACAAGGGATAAGCCTCTCTTACTGCCCTTCTCCTTGTTTCACAAAACCTTGATTAGGATTCGCTAGATAACTGAGATACATGCCTCTAAGTTACAAGTTCATCTGTCTTTAAAAAGCAGCATGTTTCTTTCAGCAGTTTGTACTGCCTTTATCATTACAAACAATCCCATTGAGGTCCCCTGCGGTATCTCCAGAAAGCACACATCTAGTCATGGAGATTCAACATCCCAAAAGACAGAGGCACTGCTGGAAGACAAAAGACAGAGACATGTTATGGTGCTGAACACCAAGGCCACAGCACACCTGTGACATGTTGGGGGCAGCAGCTAGTAGCTGACATGACATATGTCTTCAATCACTAACTCAGTTTGTCTCCAAAATAAGATCAGCTCAGCAAAAAACAACCCTGTTGTGTGGCGAACATTTCACCTCATGTGAACTTACAAAGTACTGTTAGCCTGGAGACCAAATGGGGCCCATAGGCAGGACAATGTATATAAATACCCAGGTAAGGCTGGCAAGGAAACACATAAACAGGCTCTAATTTTCTCCTGCAACATTAAGCAGTTTTCATACTGTGCGAGACTAGAAAGGTTGAGTTACCCTGACGTCAGTACAGTCATTATTGGCTCAGGTTTTTGGCTTGTGTACAAGGCTAACATTCTTACTCTTGAGAGGGTCTTACTCTAGCACAGAAATGGTTAAGAAACTTTAATGTGTTGTCCACCTCTGTGTCCTAGCCCAAGTGACTGAATTTCAGAATATCTGGAGACCAACCATGGTGACCATGTTTTCATGGTGTCAGGAAGATTAATGAACAACCTCACTGTAATTAAAGGCCTTTTCAGATGCTCTAAAATGAAAAACAAACACCAGACACTATGTGCAGTCCACATACATGCACTACCTAGACAGCAAAGTATTCCATATTCCTTCCTATCAAGCACTTTAGACATTCTTCATGCCCATACTTTTACTGTGAAGATCTCTTGCTACAGATGTCTCAGTGATTTTGGGAAATTATCTTGCAACAGGCCGATGCATCTAAGTGTTAGAGAGCAAATTAAAGGCTCTTAATGTTTTCCCAAATATTTTCACATATGCTCTGTTATTATTTATATTGCATTACAGACTATCTTGAGCCATTTGACTTTAACAAGAGGCGACTTAAATTGCATGCTGTAGATTGGAGTGCATTCATCCAAGGAGACATCGACAGTAATAACCAAGGACACTGTGCTGTGCCTAATGAAGGTGTTTTCCTGAAGTCGGTGGGATCTCAGACTGCTGAGGACTTTACAAATTTGAGTCTTTAAGGGCCTACCTCAGGAGCCCTTCTACATACCTGGAATCTAACCAGATCATAATTTTCCTAAATTCTCTCAAGGATCTGAAACAACAACCAGTACCCTCCAATCCTACTGCACCTGATTATTAGGCATAGATTGCTGTGCAACAGAGATAACCCTTCAAGTGGTGAATGGGAGATGCATACTACTAGGATAATGCACATCCCTGCCTGAGTGAGGGACTGTGACCCCGGGTCCAAATGAGTACTGGACCAGATGGATTTGGCGTCTCGTTTAGCTAGGCTATGGTTAACATACAAAAGTAATACATTGCCATCAGTCAAAGTCAGCTGCTGACACTTTCAGGAGAGTCCCCTGTCTGTCTGACTGCTGCTAGCTGTTAATACACACAGTCAAAATGTGGGGATTTAAGTATGTGTTTCAAGAAACTGTGGAAAACATCTGCGAAGGGAGCAGGCTTCTCTTTTCATAGGGCTTATTATTAACAAAACCTAAAATCCCAGTTGCATTTTCACTGTATTACTGAAATTGTTTTCTGTCTTAACTGATACCTGTTTCGAACACCAGAAAGACCTACAATTCACTTGTACATGAAAATAATTCAAGTACAGCAGAATTTTGGTAAAATTCAGAAATAATTGTTTTAAGTGCTTTAACTGCTAGTATTTGGTAGCACAAGCACTGATGTAAATCAATAACTGTGTTTAAGCTTTTAGGTGTTTATTCTGTAGACAGAATACAATGCATAAGGTGAGAGTACATAAACTCAGGATCTTTTTGGTGGTGCAGATCCTTATGGTCCAAACTATTTGATACCAAATTCTTCTTTTCACTTTCTGAAATGGCATCTGCCACTTCAAAAGGGTGTAGCTTATATTGCACTTGGGAATTTGCAAGCAGTATCCATGCAAAAAGAATGTCTGTTCTTTTTACACTTTCATATCAAGCACCTGGAAGAACACTTTGCACTTTGCACTTTGCAGGCTTTGCACTGCCTCAGAGAAGCACCTTGATTTAATGAGTATATGTTTACAGGCTCTGAGATTGAGATGGGAATCTGAAGCAAAGGCCGCACATGCCACAGAAAAATACTGCCACACAATTATCAAAGTACAACAATTCCCCCTCACATAGTATTTCACATAGTCCTGAATCACATCCCATATTAATATTTTAGAGTCACTTGTAAGATTTTTTTACTGAATAATTTAACCTCCTCTCTCTTTGCATATTTCCAGTACTTTAATATCTGGAGTGTATCTGTTTCTGAACTGAAATTACATGTCACTGGGTACAGTTGCAAAACCACAAATATGGGCAGTAAAAGCAGAATAAGCAAAATTAAGTAGGCATGGCTTAAAATCCCACACTGCTACACAGCTAGTCCTTTTTAGCAGGTAAACAAAAATCATAGCGTCTCATAAATCCAAAGCCTAGACTAAAGAAATTGTAACAGTTTCAACATGAGACATGCAAGAATGAGGATGTGTGTTCATTTATTTTGAAAAGTGCTGCTATTGCGTGGAAAGGGAGAGGAAATTATTAACTGGTAAATTCTCTTAAAAATCCTGTAACAGTTGTTTCCCTCCACAATGTGGTCTACACATTATCCCTTTATTTGCTCCAAATTTGTAGCATGTTTATATCCTATTAAAATATTTTTTTTCCAGATTTGTTTGGCACAAAAAGGACTGATGTAAAAATGATAGGCTAGATCTCTGGGTAATTTAAATGATTGCAATTCTGTCACCTGAAATGGAATTAACTCGAATTACAGCAGCTGGGCAACTGACTGTGCTCCTAATTTCGGAGCAACCTTCCGCCCCTCCACGTACACCCCGGGAGGCGAGCGGGATGAGCGGGCTTTCGGTTGGGCTCCAGGAGGGCTGCGGAGCTGGTGGCTGTGGCGCCTCCGGCGGGAAGGACGCAGGCAGCCCGGGAGGCAGCAGCATCCCTCGAAGGCTCAGTCGATACCCCCCGCGAGTGGCGGCTGCTCGGCAGCCCGGCAGCGGCCACCCTACCCCGAGGCGGCCGGGACACATCACCCGGCTCCTGCGGGGCAGGGCAGGGGCGGGGGCTCGGGGTTCGCGGAGCTCCGGCCGTCTCTTCGCCCGCGTCCCCTCCCCCTGGCGGGGCGGGAGCGGGGCCGGCCCGGGGAGGAGGAGCAGCTGGAGCCGAAGTCGGGGCTGGATCGCGGCGGCTCCGGCGGAGCCCCTGAAGTTTGCGCTGCCGGCGAAGGCGGCCCCGGGCCCTCGTCCCGCCGCTTCCGGGGCTCCGCCGGGCGGAGCGGGCCGGGCCGGGCTGGGCCGGCGGGCGGCCGGGGCAGGGGGCGGGAGCGGCCGCCGGCAGGGAGCCGAGCCGCGCCGAGCCGAGCCGAGCCGCGATGAAGAAGCCAGACGGGAAGGTGGTGCTGCTGGGGGACATGAACGTGGGCAAGACCTCCCTGCTGCACCGCTACATGGAGCGGCGCTTCCAGGAGACGGTCAGCACCGTCGGCGGCGCCTTCTACTTGAAGCAGTGGGGTCCGTACAACATCTCCATTTGGGACACCGCAGGTGAGCGGGGGGCGGCCCGGAGGAGCGGGGCTCCGGCCCCGCGGGCTCCCGGCGTTTCCTGGCGGAACGGGGCTCCCAAGAACTTGGGCGGCGTTTGCCGGCGGGCTGCGCCTCTCCTCCGAGTCCGGGGAGAGCGGCGCTGCCCCCGGCACCTTCTGTGCCAGGGTCACGATGCCTATGGCTTTCTTTTCCCTAGTTTTGGCTCTGCCCTAATGTACGAGCTGTCGATGGGAAAGATTGCGGGCGGGTGTCCTGGCTCGGGACAGCCTCACCTTTCCGAGAAGCGACGGGCAGGAGATGGAGAGATGGTCCCCCGGTGCCCCGGCGGGGGAGGCCGTCCCCGGGAACCCTGCCCTGGTGCTTAGCGCCTTGTTTTGGCACTACGGTAAAGTCAGTCGCCTGAAACGTGGGGTTTGGCGGTAGGACAAAGTCTGAAAAGAAATAAGATTTTGACGGGCCAGAAGGGGCCTTATATCTGCTCATCTATAGTATTTTTGGACTTGCTTTGCGAAATGTGAATGTACAGGGAAGATTGCGGCGCCGGTTTGCTTTCTTTTGCCCGAGTAGATTGCTACTGACGGCAAATTCAGGTAGGAGTTAGAGAGGTTACAGTTTCTGTTCATCCCTTCTCGATGTGTGGTCATGAGTATCCCTTTGATATTAGCTGGTGTCAGACTTGGACTTCCAAAAGCGCGCTGCTCACCAGCCGTTCAGACGTGGCGTTCCCCTTCACCACAGCAATAAGAGCATAAGGAATTAATGCACAGAGAGCATGGGCTGCAGGCAGTTTCCGTCTGGGATAGCAGCAAGGGGCTGTCTGGCCCGCTGTATTGTGGCAGGCAGCATCTCCGGGATGCAGGAAGGAGTATGGGTTGTGGTCATGTGTAGTCATATGAATGTCTTGCTCTTGATTATTAAGTCAGGAAGCTCCCTCCTGTCATGTAAAGGACTAAGACTGTCCAGAAAAATGAGGTCTATAAACGTTCTTGCCCCTTAAGTTGATCTTGGGGAAAAATAATCTTGTTCAATATTTTTTTGTTTTCATGTTTAGCTGGATTTTAGAAGATTTAGTAGTGCCAACATGAAGAATGCTGATTATGTGTCCTTGTGAAACTTGTGGAGCTGCAGCATCGCACAATATTCCAGTTTCCTTTTGGTGACGTTTGGGAGGGAAGTTCATTTGCTGTGTCACTTCATGTCACAATCTAGTCCAAAATGGCTTTTCCTGCATGAGGAATTGAGAAGGAGGAAGGGGAGAGATGAAACTGCCGAGAAACTACGCAGAAACACATTTAAGGGGTGGGGAGGAGATGTTTAAGAACTTTTACTTCTTGCATTTCTTAATCTGTTACTATGATGAAAGCTTTCTACCAGTAGCTCTGTTTTAAACATACTTTCTATGTCCTTTGCAGTATTTTTGAAAAAAAAATCGACTTCAATTTTGGAATTGATGTGTTTTACTGTGGGAAGTCTCATGTGGGCAATTGCTGCTTGCTTCTATTAAGCCAGACCCACATGGGAGATTAATAGTGGGCTTTATTTCAACAGAAGAATTATCTTGGTGATGTTATTCTTTGGTAATTTCCATTACACCCTTCTGATTTTTTTTTATCATACACAATAAAATAAAGTCCCTTCAAGGCTTGTCTGCATTTAGAACCCTTTTTTTTCAGTCATTTATTCTTATTGCAGTATTTCCATCCATGTTATTTGAGGCTACAGGCTACCAGCTCTATGTGGTATCTGGAAAGCTCCAGAGTTGGGTTCTCCATGTGCCAGATGAAGAACCCAAGTGATTCCTGTCTCAGGGCAACAGAAGTGTTCAGAACTCAACAATCGCCTTCCCAGTGACCATGGTTTCCTCTGGAGCAGGCCACTGCTGATGCTGCTGCCTGGGTAGCACTGCAGTGGAAGCTCTGCTGCTCTCTAAGACTTGGCAGGACTTCTGTAGCAGGATTGCTGAAGCTGTATTTGTAGAGCACTTGTTGAAAACTGTTGCTGTATTTTACCAGGGGAGGCATAACACATATTCCTCGTCCTTCTCTCTTGTTGGAGTGAGCATTGAGCCCAGCTGTCCCTTCTCTTGTGTTTCACAGGCAGGTGTGGACTCTTTCACCACCTCTCTGTTGATTTGGAAGTTGCTAAGACTGCATGCTAGACTGTTTTAGGGCATGTGGGGTCTCATTATTCTTAGAAGAAATAGAAGCTCCCAGGGCTTATATATGCTTTCTCCTGTCCAGGTGAAGAAGGAAGAGACCATGTGGACACTTGTAACCCCGATGTTAAGTCACAAGGGGATTCAAAAGTCTGCATAATTTATTTATTTATTATTTTTATTTTGTGTGGACCTTATGCTTTTGCTAGCCACAACTGGAGACCTTGGCGTGTGGCTCTTATCTCTCTGTGGTCTCACTATCTTATCTCTAGCAGGTGGGTACCAACTAAGCTTGGAATTTATGTAGTAAGGAGTAGTTTAAAATTTAGCTTTTTTGTCTGTTTATTAACTTGAGTTGCTTATTACTGCATTCTTGTGAAGCAGTCACATGGTTATCAAATACAGATACATTGTTTTCTTCAATTACGTTTGTGCAGATATTATAGAGAAACCCAGCAAGAAACAATCATCCAGGAGATTTAAAATTCTTCAGCATGGCAATATGACAAAAGTATGGTTTAAAGTTTGCATTCATCCTACCTACTTAAATAATGAGTGCCAGCTCAAGACATCCATCTTAATACCTCAGTAGTACTTTATACAATGTACATTGTAGAAATACAGAAGATTTGGCCTAGAAAAATGGGGGTGCTTGGTAGTAACTACTTTACTAGTTTGATACATAATTGAACCAGGTAAACTGGAATTCATCTTCTTTTTTAATTTTCTCAGTTTGTGTTATATTTAGTATGTGAATGTATGTGTGTTTTTGTTGTTGCTTATCAACATTATTTTGGGGACCATCATCTCCATAGAAATCCCCTATATATTACTTGTAGTTTGGTTTGTATGGTTTTTGTTGTTCTGGAATGGGTCAGGCATTTGGCTGTATTAGTGTAAGCCTCAATACACTGAAACTTCGTTCCTGTAATACAGAGTTTTGTTTGTACAAGATTAGACTTTAGTGATTGATGAGAATATCTGCAGTAGTGGTGATGGATCAAAAGTTAAGCATGGATGGATATTAGTACAACACAAGTTTAATCGTGCATCTTCTGAATTATTTAAAATATGTGTCATTGTCACTCATCACTGTGTTGATATTGCATTACTTCTCTCATTTTCCCAGGAGGAATGAAATTTTCTTGCCACAGTGCTTAAAATGTATGTTTCTGTGTTGTTATCACTCAGTGAATCACAGTGTGCACACCTGACCTGTTCTACCAAGCTAGGACTGAAGTGCAAATCAGTTATTCCAGGAGGACTCTTTTTCTCTTGGCTTTACATTCACACCCCTCTTTATCTTGGAAAAATCAGCTGCTTAGTCTAGTCTAAATCTTTCATGTTCTTATCTGCAAATCTTGTCAAATGGGTGTGCAGAAGTTGTCAGACTTGACTGGCTTTTTTAATGTAAATGCTCATGGCAAATAGTTCAACATTTCCAGTTTTCCAATTTGATGATTATGAGAGAAGTTATTTGGAAATTGCATTCAACCTAAAGAAACAAATGAGCCACAGATGGAAGAATACTTGTGAGAAGTATCATATGCTTGCCATGTTTTGAAGCTTTTTTTTTTCCTAGCCATCTGCTTTTGACTATTTCTTCACTGTCAGGGGCTTGGATGGATGATCTTGTGTCTGACCTAGTATGGTTGCTGTTGTATTTGTGGTTGGTGCAGAAAGTTATTTATTACTCCTTATCTTCTGATGCTACAGATTGCCTTTGTTTGTTTTCTCTTTGGATCAGTTAATTCAAAGGAACAAAAAAAATGCGGCATAAACTATACAAAAAAAGAAACTTTACACTTTTAACATGTTTTAAAGGACTAGTCTACTGGATATGGCCTAGTCTCTAAAGCATTTGAGTACATGCTTTGAGACCTTCATACTAATATATTTGAAGTATATTAGTATATATTTTTCTGGAGCAAGGAAAGTAAGCAACAGCATCAGCCAGAAGAACTTTTTCACATGAAGACGCATTAGACACTCAGGATGTCAAAGCTATATGTATGTAATGTGTGTATATATTTATATCTTCTAGGCAGTGCTGACAGCAGCTGCAGAGTAAACCAAAACTTCCTGCTGGGTGCTGGTGGCATGCAGCTCTGAGCTAGCATGTTATCTTTTGTCTCTGGTAACAGAAAGCATCCTGAAGTTTTGAAGGTCTTGTCCTGCACCACCATTGAACCGAAAATAATAGTGTGAGGTGAGCTAATGATATTATGAGAGTCGTTTGGTTGTTCAGGCATGTTTTCTGATGCCTTTGTATTTCAAAAGGTAAAAGTAGTTTGTATGTTAGATTTCAGTCTCTCTAAGTTGACATTTGTTCATCTGGCAGATAAGTGGTGCCCTCAGCAGCAAGGTTTCTTAATGGTTAGTGGTCATGTTCCCTGTGTTGCTGGCTTAGTATTAGAGCAGCCAACCAGTAAATAAATGACAAGTAGTTTAAAAAGTTCACATCAGGATCCTGTAATTCTGTTTTAATAATAATGGCCCATCTTCGCGAACGAAGATTTGGGGAAAGGTCTTTTACCTTTCCAGCCTGCGCAATGGATTTTTTAGGTGAGACACAGCCTGCGCTGAACTGAGCCCACCCTTTAATCCTAAGGTTCATCTGCCGGGGCCAAGCAAGCTTGGACAATGGCAGTGAGGTCCTCAGGACGTAGGTTTGTTTAGAGTGTCCTTCTCATAGATGGATGGCCACACAGGGCTAACGACCTCCATCAGGCCAGGAGACCGGGATTTGAACCCGTGGTCGCAGCAGTGAAAGTCCTGCACGCTAACCACTAGGCCACCAGGGGTCTCAATTCTGTTTTAAGAAGCTGAGTTTTGAACTTCCCAACAAATATTCGTGCAGCATTATAATGGGGAAATATAAAGGTTAACGGGGAAAGCAGACTTTCCTTCTTTTCCTTCCTCTCATCGTGAGCTATCTGTCTGCAAGAACTGACTTGATTATTTTCCTCTGTGAATATTCAGCTATCAGTTCGTATTTTTACACCTTCCACCCCTTTATTTTGCACCTGCAGATTTTTTTTTTTTCACTTGTCAGACTTAGTAGAGTTAGGGACAAAGGAGATAAATATAGCCTGGAAAAGGGTTTTCTATGGCTTAGGTCAACTGCAGTGTACTTGCCTAATGAGTGCATACATCTCTTGTGACTGGTTTGCTGATGTGTGATGGATCAGTGCTGGTGAGCACGTGTGAACTGCTCACAGCTTCCAGTC